CAACATTGCCTCTGCCAAGAGAAAAAAAGGTGATGCTGTAGCGCAGGAAATTAAAACAACTCTGGCCTCATTCCCCAGAACATGTTTTTCAAGAGGGATTAGTGTTTCACATGAGAAGGAAGGAGACCTTCAAATTTCCTTCTTGCCTGGGCTGCCCAGCTGGCACATGGCTATCCACACTCTCGGGTTGAAGAGGGTGTCGAGGTCAGCCTCCTCCCCTTTGGTTTTGCTTTTTGTTGTTATTGTTAATTCTCACCCGAGGATATTTTTTCCATTGCTTTTTAGAGAGTGGGAGGGAGGGAGGGAAAGGGAGAGAGAAACATCGATGTGAGAGAGACCTGTCGATTGGTTCCCTCCCACATGTACCCCAGTTGGAGCATGGGATCAAACCTGCAACCGAGGTACATGCCCTTGACTGGGACATGAACCGGCGACCCTTTGGTGTATAGGCCAATGCTCTAACCACTGAGAGTGCCGGCCAGGGCCTCCTCCCCTTTTTAAAGTCTCCAGAAGACAACCTACTAGTAATTCCTGACCTAAGCCAGGTGCATTGAAGTCTCCAGTTCCAGATGCTGCTGATACCCACCCCGGAGAATCTAGGCGCCTCCCAGCTGCAAGTGGACCCCATCCATCTCTGTAGGCCCGTTTGCAGAGAGACTCAGTCTCCCCAGGTGTTCCAGAGCAGTGGCTTCCAAACTTGATTAGGCAGAGGGATCCCCAAGCACTGTGCCAGGGAGCCCCATTCAGGAAGCCAGGGGCCAGGAACCTGGGAACATTTTCACAAGCATTTTTACCCGGTAGGTAGACTAAGCCCCACACCCTGCAGCTGGGCCCCCACTGCCCACCCAGGCCCCCTGGAATTGTGCAGCAGGCACTGCCCTTGACAGGCCAGCCCTGTGTTTTCCTAGCTGTGTGGCCTTGGGCACTCCACTCCACTTCTCTCGGCCAAAAATGCTTGCCTGGCCTGCCTCCAGGGAAGAGAAGATGACCATGAAGAAGATCTGTGTCCCGGGAAATTATCCAGAGTTGCCAGTTCTTGGCTTGAGGACTTAGGGCGGCAGGATGAGATGAGGGTGAGAGCGGGTCAAGTGGGAGATGGAAGAGTGAGGCGCACTAACTCAAACTTCAAGCAGAGATGCTCAGCACAGAGAAAGTTTCAAGCTCATCACATGCAACCTCCTTCCTCATTTACAGATGAGAAAATTCAGTCCAGAGAGGTTGAAAAACTTGCCCAGTCAACGGCATGGCTTGGATTAGAGCCCTCCATTCAGCATCCCTATCCAGGACTTTTCCTACCACACCACCAGACCTGGGTCCCACACCAGTCCTTCCCCTCCTCCTTCCCTCAGAGCAGGATGGGATGAAAGGCACAGGAGAGCCTCGCCAGCTACTCCACCTCCTCACTGAGGCTTGGCTTCCACCATCCCGCCCCCAGCCCTCCTTAGGTCTCAGTTCCAGTTGACCTGATCAGTACAGGCATAATGGTCTCTGCCCTCCTTGCCCCAAACCACGTTTCCCTCATTCGGGTGAGGCGGGGGCAACTGGACTGCTCCCGCCTAGAGCTCAGCCTCTGGCCCCTACCTCTCTATCCTGCCCTGTCGCCATGCTGAGGAGGCACCCACCTGGGAAGCTGGGAATGTGGGTGCCCCTGGCAGGGATGATCAGCTGGGGCAGTTCCTGTGAGAGGGCCGTCCTGTCTTCCCAGGACTTGAGCCCCATGGTGGCCTCTTATGGGTCAGAGAGGCGTGGTCTGTGGGATTAGGGGTGTAGCCCAGGGTATCTGTATCTGAGAAGTATCCCCACCCTGAGTGCTCCTACCAGGCACTGAAGGCAGCAGGCTGAGGCTAGAGCTGGTTTCAGAACAGTCTCTGTCTTGGTCAAAGACTTCACCCCGCACAAAACAGCACAGAAGCCCCATCCATCCATGCCCAGGCTTTCCATGGGGCTAAGAGCAGGGCCCAGGGGAGTGAGGCCCATCTGGGACACATGATCTCCCCAGCTTCCTGCAGTCCTCTCTTGGGAGGCATCAGGAGCCGGACAGATATGGCAGCTCCCACCTAACTTTGGGACCTTGAACAAGTTATGACACCTCTGAGCCTCAGCTTCTTCATCTCTAAGAGAAATAATTATAATACTTCATAGGATTGACACTGGATCTGTCATTTAGGTACTCAACCTTTATTTGTATGGGTGAGTGGATGGATGGATGGTTGGACAAATGAATGAACAGAAAGGTGACTAGGATGGTGAGGGATCTGGAAACCAGACCAAATATAGCACAGCAACCTTATTTCCTAAACATCTCACCTTTGCCTGGTCCAGACATGCCTAAGGGCTCTCCTCTTTTCCTACTTCCATCTATGAATGTTTCACCACTTTGCTCTCCCTGTTTCTGGCCAATAAAACAGGAGGGAAGGTCTGCTGAGAGGTTGCAGAGAAGGGGCTCCCCAGAGAGACAGACACTAGAAGAAACAGCCCCTTTCTGCCTCTGGATATTGTCGTGTTGCATTGTGACACCCAGTACAGCATCTTGTGACCATGAGGGAAACTGGCCTGAGGACAATGACAGCGATGAGGACTGTAGAGCAGAGGATTCCTAAACCATTGGTCACACCATGCCGGCCACCCATCCTGCCTCTGGACTTCATTCCCTTGAACATAATGAATGTCCGTATTTGTTAAGCCAATTAGAGTTGGGGTTTTGTTACTTGAAGCTGAATGTATTCTACATGATCTTCTCCCCAGACCTCACTTGCATCACTCCCCATCACCAGTCAGCAGAACCCCCACTCATATGCCCAACCCTGGGCTGCGTTCTCAGGACCCCAAGATGACCCAGGCTCTGTACCTGTCTTGGTAAACCTCATAGTTTTGAAGGGAGGGACTGGCAGGTAATTAGATGGCTACAAGCTTGTGAATAGAGGCTGAGGGTGTCTGGGGAGGGACAGACTAACTGTCCTGGGCAATTTGAGAAGGGTTCTGGGAGTTGGCATTTGTGGTAGGAGTCTTACAGACAGACAAAAAGAATGTGTTTCAGGCAGAGCTATCAGGGTCAATGAAGATGTGCAGTTTGCTAAGAGAACATCTAGTGGGGTTCATTTAGGCCCATTGGGGAGGAGGGGAGTGGTGAGCAACATGTACATTTTAGATCAGAAGAACCTAAGTGTTCAGGAGAGAAGGGACAAGGATCTCACCTGGGTAGGGCCGGTGGTGAGAACTGGTGAAAAAGGCATTGTAGAGGCCCAGTACTAGGTAGGCCTCAGAGACTGAGGGAGAGAGTGAGCATGGAGGAGGAGGGCAAGGATTAGGCTAGGTACTTGGTATGTAATGGAGGGCTGGTGGCTGTGTAAGTCTTGGAGCAGATGTCTGACTGTAGGACAAAGGCATAATGGCCACCGTAATGAGAAGGTATCTTTATTATTTAAAAATGTATATTTTTATTGGTTTCAGAGAGGAAGGGAGAGGGAGAGAGAGATAGAAATATAAATGATGAGAGAGAATCATTGATTGGCTGCCTCCTGCACGTCCCCACTGGGGATCAAGCCCACAACCTGGCCATGTGCCCTGACTGGAAATTGAACCATGACCTCCTAATTCATAGGTCGACACTCAGCCACTGAGCCACATCCGATAGGCTGAGAAGGTATCTTTAGACTGAAAAATGATGCAATGCAAGCAACTCTATAGAATATAACAACTTATTATAGGTAATTTACTTACAGAAAGATTGGGTCAGAGCAGACAGATGACCTAGCAGTCCTCCAAGATTATTCCCCACTAACATACCCCTGTTACAGTATTTTTTAAAATATATTTTATTGATTTTTTACAGAGAGGAAGAGAGAGGGATAGAGAGTTAGAAACATCAATGAGAGAGAAACATAGATCAGCTGCCTCCTGTACACCCCCTACTGGGGATGCACCCGCAACCAAGGTACATGCCCTTGACCGGAATGGAACCTGAAACCCTTCAGTTCACAGGCCGATGCTCTATCCACTGAGCCAAACCGGTTAGGGCTGTTACAGTATTTTTATAGTACAGTTCAGTTACTAATGATTGACAAGACAATGAATACAAACCAGAGGCCATACCTTTTTGGGGTCTTGTGAGAGATGGTTGTTTATGATCAATACTATCACTAGGCAATTACTAACAAACATATTTATGACTACTTTCGTTGTTAATCCTCACCTGAGGATATTTTTTCATTTGTTTTTAGAGAGAGTGGAAGGGAGGGGGAGAGATCCAGAGAGCGAGAAACATAGATGTCAGAGAGACATTTTGATTGGTTGCTTCCCACACAAGCCCCAACCAGGGCCAGGGATTGAGCCTACAACTGAGTTACCTTGACCAGAATCGAATCTGGGACCCTTTGGTCTACAGGCTGATGCTCTATCCACTGAGCCAAATTGGCTAGGCTGCCAATTTTTTTTTTCCTGTAAGGGGTCAAGGAAAGTGGGTTACACCTACCATCCCAGTGGAGTTACCTACAGCCCCCCCTCTCCCCAGTGCCCTGGTTGGGACAATCATTTGCAGAGTTATCAGCCCACTGAGGGGATCCACATGGGCCCCAACTCCCAACTCATGGACAGGCAACTGCAGGGAGCGAACTTCTAGCAGCCCACCCGGCCCAAACTGACCAAGCCCCTCCTGCTCCTGAAAGTGCTCTGCTTGTCTCAGGGTCCTTAGAGTGTGGGCACTCATGTGCGAGGTGGCTCCGACTGCCCACCCAGGGCCACAGGGAGCTCACACTGGCATGTGGTTCTTAGCCTGGGATTCGCACACCTGCCCATCCACCCAAGGACTGCTGCTAAGAAGTCCCAGCCCAGCCCTACGAACTCATTTCCAGGCAGGAGACCCTATGCAGGTCAGACCCATGGTTTGCCACGTGCATCTGCACCCACCCCACAGAACAGCCTCATCGTCCAGAGAAAAAGGAAAAAGCAAAGTGCTGAGGGTCTCACATGGAGCCCAAACGCCAGATGGCTGGGGGCATCAGGAATGTCAGGCTACAAATCATTCTTAGTGCTCACTGTTCTGAGCACTGCGCGTAGAAATAGCCACTTCTTCTGTGCCCGATGCCGCATCTGTGGTGCCAGCAGGTCCAGCACCTGCAGGGCAGGGGCTGGCTACTTTTTAATGGAACACAGACACTCATCGACAAGAAGGCTTTGAGATGCTTGCTAAGGACAATGAGGTTGGTCAGAGGTCACAGCATGAAAAAACCCGCTACGCAGACATGATCATTCTGTTGTATATCCCCTCCCACAGAGTATCAGGACTGGCCTATGTGACCACCACAGAACACACAGAAAGGATGATAGGTGACTCCCAAGCCAGGTCATAAAAGTCATGGACACTTCTACCTTAGACTCTTGGATCTGGAGGAGCCAGCTGGCATGAGGGAATATGTGGTGAGCCGGCACGGCCATGGCATACTTAGCCCCATGTTGGGCATGATATGGGCCCAGCCAGCTCAGCCAGGTTTGGTGAGCCTGAGAGGGGTTGGTGAAGGATTGAGAAAAGACAGACAAGAGAAAAAAGCTGGGTCTGGGTGGGACACTGTCCTCTCTGATGGACAGCTAGCCACAGTGCCACAGCCTGAAAGCCATGTCTTTATTTTATAGCCAGATTCCGCGAGGCGAAGTAAGGGCGTGGTCAGGATGTTTACAACATTCTCCTGGGTTTCGAATCTACTCAATTACATGTACCTGAACTCTAGCAAGAGTAATTACCGAACCTTGCTACCTACCCTATTTACACTTTTCATGTACCACATCACTCAGACATGTGGGGCCATGTGTTTGGACCATAGGTTCAAGCTTACAACTATAGCCTTTGGCTATAATTGTGCTGGGAGGGTTTTGCCCTCCAAGATAGGACTTGCATGTGGCTTTGCCACAAGAGAACTGTGCCCTCTCATCAGTCCAAGGCTTGAACCTGTCCAAACACTGTGGCCACTCTCCACATCTCCCCCCCCCCCCGCCCCCCTCCCCCGCCTCCCCCGCCGCCCCTGCCCCCACACACACCTTTTGTTTTTAAACACTTCCATTTACATCATCAAAAGCTCTAGGCAATTATGCAGCATAACCAAAACATCAAGAACAAACTTCTGGCTATTAACAAAACAATTAATTTACAATAATGTTAATGTAATACAGCAACAAGAGAGAACAAAACTCTGGCTATTAATAAAACAATAACAAAGCAATGCCAATGCAACACAGCGATGAGAGAAAAAACAAACTACAGACATGTTAAGATTTTCAGGATATCTTACTCAGAGTCCTCAGATTTAGCTGCGGAAGACTTTAAGAGTAACTTCCACTCCCCGCTTCTCCACCGTCCTCCAGGCCTCAGTCACTAACTTCTTCAGCTGACCCCATGTTGATACCTTGGACCCTTGCAGAGTAAGATGTCGCCTCTGATGCAAAGATGTCCTCGATGCAAAGCTGGTGCCCCTGGATCAGGCTGCTTGGACAGTTGGCTTTGGGACTGAGCCGGCACCAGTCCCAGTCACATGAGCCCTGACCATGCCGGTGGAAGTCTGATCCCTTCCTCAGCGTCTTCAGCCGCTGCTGCATGGAAACGAGCAGCCCTCGGTCCTGCAGAGCTGGAGACCTCCAACTCTGAGTCTGGACCTAAAGTTCCAGGGAGATATCAGGTCGTACAAGCAGAAATAACCAAAGCCCAGAAACAATTCAACTGCCGCAAGAGCTTACAATCTAGGCCCACTTCTGTGTCAGAAATAAAAGTTACTTCCTCAAACAACATCAACCACAGTCATTTTTTGCTTTACAGTAGCTTAACAAAACCTAAGAGATTTCTACCTTATTTCCTATCTCGTATTTCTTATCTTCTATCTTATAATTTCTATCTTATCTATCTCCTATTTCCTATTTCTTATCTTCTATCTTATCTACCTTAATTTATCTTATCTATCTTATTTTCTACCTCCTATTTTCTCTACCGCTTATTTTTCTACCTCTATATTTCTTCTCTATTTTATTTATTTTCTCCTTAAGAAATTTAAAAATGCTTCACTAAGCATTATTTTTAGGGATCCCCTTCCTGGGATCCTGAATTTCCCATGTTTTACATCCAGTAATTATTGAACCTTGCTCCCTACCCTATTTTCACTTTCTCTGCATGTGCTCAAGGGAACCTCCTTTCACCCCACAATCACAGTTCCCTGCACTCAGGCCCCACATTGGTCGCCATATGTGCCGAGGAGCCAGCTCAGCCAGGTCCGGTGAGCCTGAGAGGGGGTTGTGAAGGATTGAGAAAAGACAGGCAAGAGAAAAAAAGCTGGGTCTGGGTGGGATGCTGTCCTCTCTAATGGACAGCAAGTAATAGTGCCACAGCCTGAAAGCCGTGTCTTTATTTTATAGCCAGATTCTGCCAGGCAAAGTGAGGGCGTGGTCAAGATGTTTACAACATTCTCGTGGGTTTCGATCCTACTCAACTACATGCATCTGAACTCTATCAAGCCCACATCACTCAGCCACGTGGGATCACAGGTTCGGACCATAGGGCCCAGCTTACAACTATAGCCTTTGGCTATAATTGTGCTGGCAGGGCTTTGCCCTCCAAGCTAGGACTTGCACGTGGCTTTGTCACAAGAGGACCGTGCCTTCTCATTAGTCCAAGGCTTGAACCTGTCCAAACACTGGCTGCTCTCCACAGGAATACTCAAGCAGCTTCATGGAGAGGCCCATGTGGTACAGGACTAGAACCTTCTGCCAATAGTCAGCAAGGCACTGGGCTTTGCCCCCCCCCCCCCCCCGCACCCCAACCTTGTGAGTGAGCAATCATGCAAACAGATCCTCTGGCCCCAGTCAAGCCTGTAGGTGACCTCAGCCGCCGCTGACGTCTTGGCTGTAACCTCAAGAGAGGTCTTGATCAACTCAGCTGAGCTGTTCCCTAATTTTTAACCCACAAAAATTTTGAGACAATAAATATTTGTTATTTTAAGCTGCCAGATATGGGGGTAATTTGTTATGCAGCAATAGATAACCAAAACAAGGACCTAGACCTCCAAGATCTGATCCTCCTACCTGTCCTTCCTAGGATGAGGGAAGGTTATTATTATCACTTTGGCCCCAGGAATAGCCTCTCCCCTCACAGATGAGGCCCCACCACCCATGCCCACTGCAGAGCTCATGAACACAGGTGAAGGGACCTTGTAGAAAACTGCCCTAGGTAGATTTAGCAAATAAAAATACAGGATGTCCAGTTAAATGTGACTTTTATATAAACAGCAAATAATTTACATCATATATACATTTATATATATATATCCTGTGTAATATTTGGTATATATATACTAAACATGCTTATACTGAAAAAGTATTCATTATTTATCTGGAATTCAATTTAACTGGGCATCCTGTATTTTACCTGGTAACCCTTTTACTAAGTCTCTGGAGTCACTGCTATTTCCACATCCACCTGGGAGTAGCCTTGGTCTCCATAAATCTTCTCTTCAGTTAAAAATATACCCACAAAAATTAAAAAATTAAAGGATAATAAAATAATATTATGAAAAAATAATAATATACCCTCAAGGGGCTCTAACTCACTGCCAAAACCTTGCTGAATCCTAAGGCCCTGAAGACTAGGGCACGATCCCCACTCTCACGGAGCTGTCAAGTAGAGGAAGGAGATGTGCAACAAAATAAATTACAAGATTTGTAAAGTGCTCAGCCTCAGCTATCAGCAACAGAAAAGCCAACCAAAAAGGCTTAAATAAGGTTTTATTTCTCACACAAAACAAGAAGTTTGAAGTATGTCTACTGCTGGCTTTGACTCAGTAGGTCAAGGGTGTCAGAGCCAAGACTTTTGTAATTTTCCTGGCTTTTCCCTCATGGCCGCAAGGTGACTGCCACAGCTCCAGCCATCATATCGGTGTTCAAGACTGAATAAAGAGTGGAAGGCAAAGGTTTTCCAACCCTACCTTCTGCAGTCGATTTGTTCATGTTTTATTGGTCAGAACTGAGTCACATGGCCACTTTTAATTGCAAGGGAGGCTGGAAAAATGGACCATAGGATTATCACGATTGGATTAGACCAGGCCCAACACATTGCTGAGTAAGGGAGAAGAGGGGAAGGGTATTGGGCAGGCCCAGTTATGTCTGCCAGGTGCTCCAACAGAAATTCATACAAAGTGCTTTGCAAACTCATGCTCTACCTGAGGGATGGTGGTCAGGCTTCCACCAAGAGGAAAAGGGAAAGAAAATTCCAGGCAGGGAGGACAGTGGTAACAACTGCATATTGGCCAGGGGATGGGTGGAGATATCAGTGATGCCAGATCATGAATGGCCTTGATGGCCACGCTAAGCAGCTTGTGCTTAACCGGGCAGAGAACATTTTTCTCTCATCTTACTAGCTTCTCAGCAGCATTGGACACATTTGGCCACCCCTCCTTTCTTGCTTTCTGCCATATACAACCCTCTGGTGTTCCCTTCCTGTGCTCCTGCTCAGGGTCCTTTGCAAACTCCTGCTCTTCTATGTGGCCACCAGAGTTTTGTGTTTACCCCCACACTGAACCATGTCCCTTTCTCCCATGGCACTTGCCACAGTGGTAATTAGATAGTTATCTGTGTGGCTGTTTGATTACATACTGTCTCTCTCTCTGCTAGCTTGTAAGCTGATTCTGTGCACCAGTCCCTGACACACAGCAGACCCTTCATAAAAATCTGCTGAATGAACTGATGAATAAAGGGCAATGTGTGTGCATGGAGTGTGGGAATTGAAGGGGTGTGAGCTGGGCAGACCTGTGGCTTGTCTCCTTTTGTTCCAGTCACTCAGTTGGTTATGATAGGAGGGGGACAGAAATTGGGGATGAGATGCAGGCAGGTTCGATAGGGGACACCAGATAGGATTCTGCTCCGAGGTCTTTGGTTCTGCCTCTGAGGACCACCGACGAGAACAGGGTGGGGCCCCATGAGACAAAAAGAGATTTAATTCCAAATGATGGTCTCATGTCTGGGTATCCCACTTCCTCCTTGCAAGGAGAGGATGGTAACACTAACACTCCCCCCAACACACACACACACACACACACACACACACACACAGGCCAGCTGAGTGGACCCCCTTCCTGGGCACATGG